CCCCCCCCCAAGGCAGCCCCGGGTCCGGGCCAGAGATGAGGGCTTCCCGGGGATGCATATTGCCTGAGCAGTTCCCTGGGCCTGTTTGGCCAAGGCAGCGCTGACACAACTTTGCCTGTGTGCTTGATTGATGTAAAAATAAAAGTTTTGGGAGATGTTGGCAGCTGTGTTTCTGGGCAAGGAACCCTGGCTGAGGTAGGGAGAAGCAGCTAGGCTGCGTAGGAGAAAGCCCAGCTCTTTGGAGGACACAGCCTAGTTTCTCCGTGAGCCTTGGTATTAGCACAACCTTGCTGCCCCAAGCCTGATCCTGCAGCAGTGCCCTCAGCACTGGCCTGTGCTGCTCAGGCCCAGGACCCAGAGCAGGCAGGGCATCGCAGCCCCAAAGGCAGCATGGTTCCTAGCCAGGTCATCTGTCTGCGGCTCTCCCCTATGCACGGCCACCCAGCACACAAGAAAACAGCCTGTGTTAAAATGGTGTCTTTATTTCAGCAGCTGAGGCAAAGCCATGGCTGAAAGGGGACAGAGGCACTTGGAGGTGCCAGCTGGTATGGGTGCAGCAGGACTAGGCCCAGCCCGGCCTGGTTGCAGGATGCTGCATGGCACTGCCTCGGTTATAACTCGAACAGGCGCCAGTGGTGTGGGGCTGTGGCAGGGCTGGCTGGAGGGGCCTGGCTGCCGCGTGGCAGAGGCTAGCACAGCAGCACGAGGCCTTCCTAGGCAAGTGCTGAGCCTACCCAGCTACACATCTGTAGCTGGGCCCCACTCATAGCCTTCGTCCTGGTCCGAGTCGTCCCGGGCCCGTGTGAACCTCTTCCTGACAGCATTGCGCTCGTATTCCCTAGGTGGTGGGGGAGGAGGGAGAGGATGAGAAACCACAGTGATGCCTCTGTGGCCCAATTGGGACTGGTAGCCGTCCCTGCAGCACGCAGTCAGGCCAGGCAGAGCAGGACCCAACAGTTCCCTGGGCCCTTCCCCAGCCCCAGGTGCAACTTTTGGGGCAGGACAGTGCCAGTCCCAGCAATGCCCCCCCTTCCCCCAGTGCCACCAGTGATGCCACAGGGCCAGCAGCTGTGTACGCAGCAAATGTGTTTGGGGCTCAATCTGTACTACATCCCTGGGCAGGAGGGGGCGGCACATTAACTCCCTGGCAGACCCCAGCACACACCGCACCTGATGCTGTCATAGCGCTGCGTCCGCTCGCTCTGCGGCTGCTGCTCTGTTGCCTGTTAAAGACAGGAGAGACGTGGATTAGAGGTGGTGGAGCTGAGCCCCAGAGGGCCACAGTGCTGGGCAAGCAGGATCTGTGCTCCAGCTTGGAGCTGTGCTGCTCTCCCCCATGGGAAAAGGGTGGCGAGGCACCAGAGCTGGGCATGGATACCTGGCTGTGCTCTGCAACAGGTAGAGGTGATGCTCCTGGTTATGCCACAGCAGGCTAGAAAAATCAGCCCCC